AGTGGTTGAGTCCCCATCCCTGGAGGTATTTAAAAGACGTGTGGATGTGGTGCTTAGGGACGTGGTTTAGTGGTGGACTTTGGCAGTGTTAGGTTAATGGTTGGACTCAATGATCTTAAGGGTCTTTTCCAACCTAAATGACTAACATTCACATTCCTCACCTGTAAGATATACCTATGCTTACACACAAACCAAATGCTTTAATGTTTTTTGCTTGGAAAATAAACCAAGACACAACTTGACAGTTGTCATTTCAGGTGCTGCAATAACTATTTGGCATTTCAAAACAGTTTTTTTACTGTATTATGCTCTGTATCTCAGTACAAGATCTTATATAAACAGTATGGTTTCACACTGAAAGCAAGCATGCCTATTTAGAAAAAACAGGCTAAGTAAACTTTTTTCCTAATGACAACTTTCAGCTGCAGTAGATTTAAGAATACTACATAAAAAAAGAAATATGCTCCTTTTAATCTCTTTTCCAGTTACGAAAATGTTTTAAAACAGATTTTAAAAGACTGTGTGTTTACATTTAATATATACAAGCATTTAGGTGCTTTAATTCCACCAACTTAGTGAATACCCTAATCCAGCTCATATAGATTTTTTTCAACATCATTCGAGTCAGCAGAAAAAATTAAGATAAACCAGTCTCACACAGGGAAGTCATATTATCAACAAAAATGTCCTTTCTTAAAGAGTAAGCATTAAGTAAAGCCAAATAATTGCAGCAGACAGCTTGTATGAGTTATCTGGGTTTAAGTTTTGAAATGTATCCACTACTTAGACTCTCAAGAAGTTCAAATCCCTTTAAAATGACAAGGTACTCTTATTCAGCCTATCAAGCTAGTTATTGTACTGTCTTATGATCCAACACTCTTAGTGATAAGAATTTTTTTAGGTAGCCATGATCTCCCTTAAATTGAGTTTTTAAAAACACAATACCTCAGTGTTTCATTCATGAAACAAACCTTGCGATCCTTTCTGACAGATCTGCAATGTAATTATACTTTATCCACTCAAGTCTTGCAATTTAGCAGTCATACTGAGGGAACTAAAATCAAGTATAGTTCAATAGTTCTGAACTGGAAAGCAGCGATTGCATGTCCACAGCATTTTGGGGAAAACGTGTTTTGGGGAGAAGGCTAACAAGCAGAAAGTACCAGGTACTTGCCCTGCTACTGTCCTCTCTGCCCAAGACACACAAGCTCCACCCAACTCCATTCTTAAAGATAGGGCTTGAAAGCAATTGCTAGTTTTGCACTAGCAAAAGACAAGATGTCCAAACAAGACAAGATGTCCCCAACACTAGCAGAAGACAAGATGTCCAAACAATTACAAAAGAGGGATACATGATCTTAAAAAGAACAACTGAAATTCACGTCAACTGTGTTTTTTGAGTTGTTACATACATATAATACTATGCGCACATCAGACTTCTCAGCTGGGTTTCAAAGGAAAAAAAAAAGTAACATCTCTACTGTAACATTTAAAATCATACCAGGAGGTGCACAGAACAGCCAAAAGAAGTACAAGCTATCATTTTTTTTCCCTGCACATGGCCCACAAACAGTACTTAGTCCTATCTAGTACCATAAGCAACACCAAAAATGGAAAATAATTTTACTGATGAGTGTGAAGCTACCATTCAATTTTTTTACATAAACTACTTAAACTAGACAAATTTAAAAAGTGAAGAAAACAGACCTACACAATCACCCCTTTCTCAGTTTCTTAATCCATCTCTGCAAATCATCAAGGAATATGTGTAAGAAGAAACATTACTTCCTTTTTCTCAGTTCAATGCACTTAATTAAATAGCGTCTGGCAAAATCTCTACATACAAAATTTAACATACAGCTTAATATGCTACACAAAGAAAATCTGTGACAAAACAAATTTAATACTAGTAGATTATCTGATTTTACCTTGCCTCATCAGCATTAGCTGATGCTCATGTCTAGCTGCTTCCATTTCTGCCTCTAGTTTCTCTTTGGCTTCTCTAATGTTCCTGTCAACCTGTTCACGCTGTTGCTTTTCCATCTCATCAAGAGCCTTCCACCGTGAAGCATACTCAAACTCAAATGTTCCAGGCTGAGCAAAACGTGGAGGCTGTTCTCTTTCCCTAATAAAAATTTTGCAGTTAAAATGTACAGAAGGACACATTTAGATCAACAGCTGCAACAGCCAAGGAATTTATAAACAATCACTTCAAATGTAGATCTGACTTCAGATCAACCTGTCAGATGACTACATTCTAAATCAGTCAAAGCTTAATTCAGCTGTCAAGACAAGTAATATGATCAGCGAAATTGTCCAAATAAAGATCTGTTCAATTTATATAATTTTAAGATAAAAATTCATATTTACATCAGTACGAAATACTAAGCTGCAACACTAGATTAACTGTGTTCAGCCTTCTAAAGCAAGCAATTTATAAAGCCAGTTATTTAAATAAATATCAAAGCTTACTAGACAGCTCAGAATATTAGCCAGAATCTCTAAACATTAAAAGGTGCCAACATTTTATTTCACATTCTAACACTAATATTATAACTAACAGTGACACATTTTTAAAAAGTTATATTCTACAGCCTTACCAGAATAAGCATTTTAGCTTCAAGCAACATGATCTCTAAATGGCAATCAAATTTCAATATTAAAAATTAATATTATCAGATTAGGTGACTTCTCTTCCACCTCATGATCAAGACTCACTTTCTCGTGTTATGCTCAAAATTTTATCTGAACTATGGAAGCTGCAAAGATTTACACCCACTGACTTTACAAACAGCTAAGGGGCTATTTAGAGAACAAAAAATCTGTGGGTGTACAAATCTCTGCAGGATTAGACCACACCCCTAATCCATAAAAGACTCTAGCCTGGCTGGCAACAAGCTCCAGCTGATTTCAGTGTAGGCCAGGAATCTATCTACTTTAGTAAATGCACAGAATGTTAAACCAACAAGTCAAGTCTGAGTTTTACTATGATTAGGAAATCTTGGCAAGGTCCTATTTAATCCTTTGACACAGAACAGCACAACATACAAAACACTACTTCCTGTTACACAAACTCAAAAATAAAAATTAGCGTGTATTTACCAAGCTAAGTAACATAAATCATATTTTATAAAATAAAGCTGAACGCAACTTACTTGTGATACTGTTGTGTTTTTTGCATTAGCTTCTCTGGGAGCCCATCTTCATCATCAAATTGCTCCATTGGTTCTACAACAACAGGTCGAGGTGTTCTGGAAGACAGTTTCAATTGAATAATTGAATTATAAATGAAGCAGTTATTTTAGTATTTTGAGGAACACTCCAGAAAGATAACATATGTTATCTGTAATTCCTGTGTCTTGCAAATTCTTCTTAATTCGTAGAATTCTAATGAATCCTGATCTTAAGAATTATCTTTGAAAATAAGTGTTTCTACACCCAAAAGCAGTTATTCCGCCTAGAAACGACAATTTACTTGATGTAGTTCTGTTTGCGATGAAGTATTTAAAGATTTAAAAAAAAAAAAATCTCAAAACCATCTACAAACAATGACAAAATATTTAGGAAGGAACTACCTTTTGGTTTTCATCACTGAGGCAACACAGGGGCCATGATTATATTGGGAAAGCACCAAACAAACCCAAAACAGAGCAACACAACCTATTCATATTTCCACAGAATATTAAAAGTTACTTTTGAAAATTACTCTACAATTGAAAACAGCTTGATAATTTGGCATTAATATTCCAGTGATAATTAGAAAAACATTTCTGCTTATTTAAAACCCATTCTTTGAACAACCATACTCTCACAAATCAGAATTCTAATTTATCTTTGAAAATACCTTCCTTGAATTCTCATTATCTATAGTAATCAAGAGGCAAGCATTAGCCAGTACTGCCAAGGATAGAAGTATAAGGATCCTGAATTGATTAAAAAGCTCTCCGCATCAGCCTTGGAAGCATAGCCTATAACACACACCTTAACGCGACAAGAAAAGAGCTAGAGACGCTATTTTTAAAATGCCAGTGCTTATTTATTGTGTTCCACACCTTTATTTCACTTTGCAGATCTTTTCACAGAAAAAAAATCAATATATTTTAACAACATCAACAGCTGAAAAAGAAAACTTTGGGCATCGAGTGCAGATTAAAGAGATGAAGTCTGGAATCACAGAGCACAACTCAGCAACTGTTTCTCCTGATGTTATCTGCGTGGCAATTGCTGGCAGTTCTGTTATTTAAATGCAACTGAACTGTGGTGTTAACAAGTTATAATTTAAAACAACAATTTTAAATCTCTAAATTAACGTTTCAGATGTCTAGTTTTGATATATTTAGCCCATGAATTGAAAGATTTTCTTCTGATCAGGCAAAGAGTTTTCAGCTAAAAATATAAAATTTTAGATTGTGAAGCAAAACATCAAAGTATCATGGCAGCAGATTCATGCTAATTATCTTTGCAACTGCGCGTTAGGGAACATGTCAGCCACCTAAGCAAGATAAAGATTAAGTGCTTTTTATTCACTCAGGCCATGGTTAGATGGGTCGTTTCAATCCAACGAACCTATCCAGCTGGTAAAACAAGAATACCCTCCCCTTAGCTTCCTTTTCACTGCCACACCTCTCATGCCAAGAATAGCATTCATGTCACACTGAACTAGATTAGTTCCCTGGTTTGGCTCACCATGCTTCCATTCAAATACTAATGCCAAGAAAACCCAGGGGATAGGAACAAATTGCTGGCACCTACTGATAACAGTAAAGATGTATTCAGATTGAATTTACTACGTAGCTACCAGGTCAGTTCAGTGGCACACAAGATTTATGAGATTATCATGAGAAAGAGGAGTTCCAGACCCTGTCCCCACCTGCAATCTCCTCTTGGCAACCTTTTCTCCTGCCTTATCTTTTGCTGGACCTGATGTTCATAGCACTCATGTTAGCAAGCACCTTCATGTGCTTAAACAGCCAAAAATGAACCCAACAAAAACAGCTGAATACTTTTCCGTTGTTTTAGCAAGCACAAGTGGCTTATGGAAGTATCTGAAAGTTCTCAATCGGATAAATGATCAACAGCACAGCCAGGGCAGGAAGAGAAAAAGAACTACAAGTTCCCCAATTTGATGGCAGCAAGCTTCCATGCTGTGGAACCACAGCCTTATTTTCCCAAATGAGAATCAGAAAAATAAAAAAAAATCCTGAATATCTATCATTTCACACAGTCTTTAAGAAAACATTTGAAAATGTCACTAGTGAATGTGTTAAAGCACAGCAGTTAACAACTCTTTTCAGCAAGTACAGAAATAAGAGGTGCAAGAGAGAAGTGCTGTAATTTGCAAGCTCGCTTGCCCTTGAAATAGAAAGTTTTCCCGAGATCATTGCCATAAACTTCTGCAGAATCTAAGTCTTCATTTTCAGAAAAAAAAAAAAAAAGGTACTTCTGGCCTTTCAAGCCACAAATACAACTTGTGAGATAGAAATAAATGCAGGAAGACTTTCCTGAGTTTACAGAAATATGAGCAACATAGTGCACTTTTCTGCTAAGAAACAGGAATATTATTTTGTCACATTGTTACCGGGATCAAGAAGAGTGCAATCAATGAAAATAAAGTGTCACTAGAAAAAGCCTTACTATATAGACAAGGAAAAGCAAAATGTTGCTATCAGACTAATATGGTATGCAATCAATGAAAATAAAGTGTCACTAGAAAAAGCCTTACTAAATAGACAAGGAAAAGCAAAATGTTGCTATCAGACTCTAATATGGTAATTACAAGTCTTATAAACAGTAAGCAGAAAAAGATGGTTTTCCTCACAAAAAAAAATTAGGAGTATTTGAGGTATTCATGTAAAACACCTTAATTTCTCACCTCGTGGCTTTCATAATTTTAAAATAAAGTAAGAACTACGGAATACTCATGAATGCAGTTTTCTTTCACACCAGAAATATATACTCACACAAATTCAAACAAAAGCCTGTGAACTTACGTTGTTAACAAGAATGCCCCATCACTGCATCTTTCTAGAGCTTTCCGTGCTGGAGGTTTTGCTGCAAACTCTACGAAACCTTTTCCTGTAGCTCTGCCACGATCATCTACTACAACAACAGCTCTTTCCACTGGCCCAAATTGAGAGAATGCTTGTTCCAGCAGCTCATTAGAAACCACAGGTGAAAGATTCTTGACCGTTAGGGCAGCTCCATGTGTAGCAAATCGAATTCGAAGTGGTCTGCTCTTCAAAATAGTACCATCAAGTTCTGCCTTTGCTATTTCAGCCAGTGTCCTAGATTCCTTTTTCAAGATATAAAATATTTTATATATTTTATTTTCAAAGATTTTTTTTCCTTAACTTGAGCACATTAGCATCAGGGTCATTCAACTCTTCGCCCTCCCTTCCAAACCCCAAAAGTTCCTGTCCACTGATTGAAAAAAAACATGCATTTGTCATCCTCTATAATTTATTCTAAAAAACGACATAGACAAAAAATTTTGTTGCATATCAGAGGACTTAACAAATTCTCATTATGATGGATACATTTGCGCTGCTCTGTAAAGGCTTTCAGCAGCGTTGAAAACGTGATGCTTTTTCACATTTACCTACTCAAATGTTTATATTCTGCATCCCTAGCTCCATATAATAGGAAATAGTATTTTCAAAGATTACACTACAGGATCTAAGGTGTTTTGGGTTTTGGTTTGGGGTTTTGTTTTGTTTTTAAATAAGTGAAAATATCACACTTGCTCATTACCACTGCTAGATGAACTCTCAATGGATGTCCAATTCGAATTTCATCAACAAATGATGAAATTACCTTCTTTGCTCATGTATTCATTCTTCTCACATTTATGGGCTTTCTGCACCCACATCCATGAGACAGTTTGCATCAATAACTGCCTTTTTTCTCATTTCAGAGATTTTCACCGAGTTTGATACCTGCAATCCCTTACATTTAAAGAAATTATTCTTTAGATCATGGCCATTTTCTCCACAGTTCAACTGACTAGGTAAGTTGTTAAAAAAATAACGTATTCCCTAAACATAACGGAGAAGGGAAGTTCAGATAAAAGCTATATCTAATCTATATCACATACAAAATTGAGTAATGACATGCAAATATATCACGCTTCCTCCAGAAAAGTGCTATTTCAGGCTGGAGGATTCTCAGGGTAAAAGATGTACAGCAGAATGCCACAACCACTTATCTTTAAGATGACAATCAAAAAGAAAAAAATCCTAACCAGTAAAATGTATGGAAAAAGCATAACTAGAAACACCCAAAGTACTCTAAAGCTATTCCCAGAATGATACAAATCAGTGCATTCTAGACATGGCAGTCATGAAAACTAATCCTGCACATTAAATTTACATTTAAATACAGTATCATAAGCTTTACAGATGATTCCTTTTTTGCATGCTCGCTTGAGCATATTCGATCGAATACTGCATTATGTCTAAAAATCTAGTCTTATCTGGACACAAGTAATGTAAACAACCCAAGGTCCCATTTCTTTGCAATTCTAAGATTACATGTTCCGTTGTCACGATGTGTGAGCAGTGGTATTTCGAAACAATCCTGTCCAGTCTTTAAAATTAACTGTGTTTTCATAGACCAAACCTATACTCATAATGAACTGTACAGGCTGAAATTTGCTTCTGCACAAAGAAGGATTTTTTTCTAGTCCTAAAGTACGATAAATTCTCCCGGTTAAATAAGGAAAGCCTTTACACAAGTATTACACGAACAAAGCAGATCGCGCAATCACATCTTTCATTCACTGAAGAGTAACAGGCTGCAGGAGTATCCGTGGTAGCAGCACGTAAACGGCACTGGTGGAGGGGCCCTAAAACCAGCGGAGTACCGCGTAGTGAGGTGGGAACCTAACGCGAGGGGCTGGGAAGGCTGCTCACAATGCAGGCCTCTGGCTTGGATGTATGGAGGCAAATAGGGGAGGGGGGGGAAGGAAGAGGAAGCTAAGGAAACAGCGCTAGCAGCAAGGAGAAAGAGAGAGAAAGAGGGGCAGCTACTATCTTTTTTTACACCCGCCCTACAAGGAAAGGCGGGTGGGGAGGGGGAGAGAAGGAAAGGAGTCTCCCGCTTGCAAAGGCAGCCCCTGCGTTACGGGGCAGCCAGAGAGGCTCGCGCGAATCCTCACCAGGCGAATGAAGCCAAAGCCACGGTCCCGATTGATGAAGACCTCGCTAGGCTCCCCATAACGCTCGAAGAGGCGCTTGAAATCTTCCTCGGTGATATCAGTAGGCAGATTCCCCACGAACAGCCGGCAGCGCTGCGTGTAGCTCTTCTCGCCAGGTTTGAGAAAGCTTTTGATATCGATGGTGAACCCAACCTCCTGCTCTTCATCTCCACCTTCTTTGCTCGGCACCAGCGCCATGGCCGCCGATGCCTCACTCTCCGTTTCTAGGCCCCGCAATCCCTTCAGGTTACCGCCGCCGCCACCCCCCGCCATGCCCAGCGAAGCCGCTGGGGAGCTATTCTCGATCCGTACTTGCTTCAAGTTCCTATTCGCTGCCATATTCAGACCTCGCTCCTTTCTCGCTGGTTTTCTCGGGCGACGCGGACCCCGGTTCAGCAACCACCACCTCCGACCCTCAGCCAATTCAAAATGGCGCCGCCGCCAACCTCGACGAGTTGTAACGTCCCTGAGGAAAGCCCCGCCCACCATCGCCCGCGCTGCCTTCCCCGCCACTGCTCCTGCTCGTTGCTGGGCGCGGGGAGGGGTGCGTGCATGCGCCGTCCTGCGCGGCGGTGGGAAGGCTGTGGGGGTGGAGTGTGTACCTATGGCGTCCTGCTTGCGCCCGGGCACCGTTGGTCCCTTTCAGCTCCGGCGTGCAGGCGAACCTGCCTCAAACCGCGAGAGATCGGCCTTTGTGTCTGCAGAGACAGATGCGTTCCAGCGGGCTGCACTGTCTGAGAGGATAACCCGCCCAGAAGCTTCCCTGTTGCTCCTTGCTAGCTCGGCTCCCTCGGTGCATGACTCGCGCGTACAGAGAGCAGCCGCAAACGCAACCATATTGGATTAGAGTAGTGGTCTCGGGAGCGTTCAGATCCTGCGAGCTCCGCGACAGTCCGTCCCCAGGCAGAAGAACCCCTTGTTGCGGTCTCCCCTGAGGGAAAGGCAGGCAGGCGGGGTGCCCTAGTGGGGTGTCTGGTCGCTGCGGGAGAGGGAGGCAGGCATAACATGAGGGACGCTGAGGCGGCTGCAGGGGAACAGCACGGGGGAAGGAACGCCCGAGCACTGCGGAATGGCACAGGAGGCGAGAGGGAGGACCTGCAGACAGCACAGGAAAAGCGTTCACCGAGTTAGATGTGGGAGACAAATCTGAGTGGAGAGAGGCCTTGTTACATCTGCTGCTCACTGAACAATTTCCTACAGGGCAACAGGTTTCATTATAAAGGTGATGACTTTCTTCACAGAGGTGTGAAGTCAAACGTTTCCTTCCTTGGGCACTCCTTCTTGTAGCTAGGACTATGCGTGTCTCATCTGCAGCACAAGACTACGGTTTTCTCTATGCCTGCCAGATGCCCAGTTGCTTGGTTTGATCTGTATGCTTCAACCAGTAATTCAACTGATGCATGGTTTCTCAGACAAAGAGCTCATTAGTCTGCCTGGGGCCTCATAGAAGGCCTGATAATCAGTTCTTGGCTCATTACCAGAATAGCCTGAGTGCTTCAGGTGCCCATGTAGCTTTGCATCATGCAGGGGAACTCCTAGACAACAGAGCAAGACTTCAGGAGAAAATAACTGTATGATTTGTTTTATTAATACAACTATAGCACTGAAAAAGTCCAGACAATCTCATGTGGTTAATAGTTCAGCTAGTGCATGGCACATACTGTTCTTTTGAAAAAGCAATGTCAAGCGTGATATTCAAGAAAAAGTTAATTCTACAACAGCATGAATCCATTGCTCAGGGATTTCCCTGTCCATTGGGGAATACTTTAGGTTCCTCTGTCTTGTTTTTCCATTTGAGGTACATGAAAGATCTCAGTCTCTTTCCTCCTATCTCTGAGCTTGTACCAGGATCTAGAGAAAACATGAGCTCCCAGGCAGCATGTATTATTACTTTATCAGCCCACCTGTTTCTGAAGCAGACTCATGGGTGTAGGGCATTGAACTGAACCCTGATTTAAACCTCTGAAAATCAGAAAATACAGACGGTAGAGGAAGGATATCTACTCACAGCAAAGGCAGCAAGTCAGGCAGTGTAGGAACATGAGGGAGGTGTTAGAGTAGCAGTACAGGATCCCTAAACCTTACTCACCTTGACTGTCGGAAGAGCTATGGTCTGTAGTATATTTAGGATTCAGTAACAAGTGTTAAGACAAAAAAGGAACAACTAACAGCAAACGGATAGCTTTTTAAAACTGGTAAGGATGTAAAGGGAGTGAAATACATATTAGAAATGACATGACTATACATTGTAGAGAGTGAAAGCTCAGTAGATGGGAAAAGGGAGATGCGTAGTAGTCTGCTTGTTAAGTTATTGCCAGTGCTGTGTAATAAAATTGCCATGGTTTTCAGACACAGCTTTCCAAATCAGGTTAGTAGTAAAAGCTACAACCATTTAAATATACAACCATGATTTCCTGTGTACTATAAAAAAGTCAATAGGAGGAGCAAGGAGTATTTACGAATTCCATACTGTTCTTACCTTTCCTTAGCTGTAGCAACGTCTGAATAATAAATGGAAGTCCAGTAAAATAGATCAATAAAATTCCAACTTCCAGAAAGAAGAAAATTATGAAAATATCTGCAGAAAAAGAGAAATATATATTTAATATGCTCATGCATAGCTTACCTTCATTACAGACTAACAGTATAACCGTAGTGCACATATTTGCACTGTTTTTAAACTTTGTTGAGCAGGAGCAATTTGCACATGCCCTACAGTCAAACATTTTAGGGCGATGTACAAAAAGAACCTGATATCTACTATGGTCAATCACTTCCTCACCTTCATTTACAATATATTATTTCACATTTTACTCATTCATCAGGACAACCCCAGATAGTTCATCTCCTACCTAACTGCCCGGTCTCTTTGTGGCTCAATGATTGCTACACCTTGCCACTGACACCAGTTAACAAAAAAACATTTTGAAAGGAGGCAAAATGGATCCCTTGAAGTTCTTGTTCCAATGCTTTCCTTCTGTTATAAACATCCACTTAAATTTCTATGATTTACTAATAGCAACTCATATCACGGGAGGAGTTCTGCTAGACTGTTCCAGCCACTTTCCCTAAGTTTAGTATTTAATACTTTGAATGCAGCTGAACTACATGAGAGTAATTTCACAAGAGTGGGAGAATAATAGTTACGATCACATAGTAATTTGCTTTCACTCTGTAATTTTTGAGGGGTTTTTTTTTGGAAGCCTGAATTTATTCAACTTGGCATTCAAAAGGCCACAACAGACAACCCTAATTTTGTGCTAACAAAGTCTGTTTTGTCCTGGAATTTGTTTTAAGACCTTAAAAAGATGACAACTTCTTGTATTGGTAATATACTGCCTTTACATGTACTACCAGACTCCCTTTTCTGACTCATGTATAGCCTTGGATTATGATCCTGCAAATGGTTGTGTATTTAAATTTATTAGGATAAATACAATATTCTGCATATGGACGACTGTCTGTAGTACAATCACTGATCCTCTAAGGACAAGAACATTTCAGTGGCAAAAAACGAGCAGAATTGTGAAAATCCCCAGTATTTTTCATGTTGTTTGCTACAGAGAAAGGTTCTGTTTGGTGTATGCTAAAGTGTTAACGCTATCAAGAGTTTTGGGTGTATTTCCAAAACACACACCATCCAGCCATGTGCTGTATGAGACACAGTCAGAAGCAACTGTTCCAGCTTTTAATTTTCTGTATCGCAGCATTACTTCCCTACCAAATAGCAGGATCCTGCTGAAAATCATGGAGGCATCAGACCTCTAAAAGAAAGTCATGAGAGCTTTTATATGCTGCAAACTTGTAAATGTTACATATCTTGATCTGCAAATAAAAATCCCAAACTATTTGTATTTACCCTTGAACAACTTCAAAGTGATTGCTCAGATAACAGCACTCCAGTGGTGATAGCTGTATTAGTGCTGAAGTCGGCTTCTCAACAGAGGCAATTGTGGCTTACTGCTCAACACATCTCTGGACTCCCAGGTTTATTTCTTTTTATTTCCTAGAATCTGCAATGAGTCATGGTTAGGATCAGTACTTGTAACTCAAGCTACAGCGGAAGATCATGACAGAATGTATCAGGGAGCACTAGAACTGAGAGGTAAATTAGGGCACAGAGGGGAGTGCTCCATTTGGGAGGAGGGGAGAAACAAGGGAAAGCATGAAATTCTGCACTGAAAAAGTAGGGAATGCAGTAGGCAGTGGTTGATGGCCTGAGGTTGGGATCCTATTCAGAAGTGCAGGGGCAGGGAACTGAGGCATACTTCTGTGCATGACCTGACACAGGTGGGAGCTGCTGCTGCTTTTCATCTCTTGCCATTAAAGACAGCGTTTGCCTGCAGTATTACTCATGGCAATATCTGGACAAATTAAGCTTAGGGTAGGTTTTGGTCTCCACTACTGAGCTTTTCTTACAAAGATAAATGGGCTAAGAATATTAAAAACATTAGCTGTCATAGCTGTGCCAGCAAGCCTGATGTTATAACGGTGTGGAGAAAAAAGTGCTTAATGCAACCTGAAGAAGTGATGCATGCTTTTTAATTATCTGAGGATGACCTCATTATGCTACTACTCGGGCATTAAGAGCGGTTACAAGATAATGTCATTGCAGTGCCATCTGGTGACAAATACTGGAATTATCACTAGAACTTTAATAGAATAAATCAAGTGAAAATAAAGATGGAAAACCAACAATAAAATTATCTCTCTGGTCCCAGATGAACAGGATGACTTGGATTTTCTATTTTTAAACCTGGTGGGCAGGCCTCCTTTCTCTGTTCTCCTCAATAATAGCATAATTCAACAAGATATGTTCATTGTTTTTACATGGAGAGAAATGTGTATGATCACATTTATAAAATAATCTGTAAAACCTAACCTAATATGGTTAGTAGTCACCTATATGCATGCCATATTAATATATTTTTTACGTGAATGAAAATCAGTATTTCAGAATTTTCTGAGTATGACAAGTCAGTGTTATTCTTCAAAACAACACTGGTCTCAAGGAAACAAGGACTGAAAATATAAGAAAATATATTTGTCTGTGAAAATGTACTTGTCGGATGGACATTTAGGCTCGACAAAAGTTACCTAACTTTTCCAAAGCTACTTTCTCCATTAATATAACCAATGCATACAATGCACTTCATTTTGAATATTTTTCAGCATACTGTCTTTGCCTATTCTGTAGAAGAGTGACAATGAACTACTAAGGCAAGCAGGAAGTTAAAGCCTTAAGGAAGTATTCCCCAAATATATTCAGCCCTTAATTTATGTCTAAACAATCATTCGGTGTGCTGTCAGCACATCAGGCAGTAGACCTTCCTGACAGACAGTCCCTGGGATTAGGGTAGGAAGAAGAAGCAGTTTGTGTGGAATGGTTAAAGTGACTGGGAGAGACCCAAAAGAGCTGAGCTCCTAGCCCTGAAAGAAAGCAGTACCACAAACAT